AAATGAGAAAGATGAGATATTGTGTAAAAATAACTCCAAAATATTTTCCCACGTAGAGATGATTTAGCGACTAATTAGAAAGCACAAACCTTGGAAGTTCAATTTTGAAGATTTAAACACTTTAAAATAAATTTCAAACACAAAAAATCAAGGCCTAATTCTGGACTTGAGTTTAGTTACATTGACATACGCTACCTTAAATAGTTGCTTAATTCCCTCTTGAAAACCCCTTTAAAAAATCTACTTTAATCCCTTTAAAACTTTTGAGTTAAAAAAACTCAGAAAATATGAAAAACAGTGTTATAAGTAATTAGCAGAAGAAATGCTATAGAGGATGTGGAATTTTTTTTTTAATACACACATGAACATACACACAGAAACATAAACATTAAATAAAAAGGAACAATGACATGTCATTCGCTTTAACACAAATAGCTGACAAGATAATACACATAAAACAGATGTGGAAGGTTTTTTAAGATACAGACCAAATATACTTATATAAATCCAAAACTGCATTTTATTTAAAAAAGAAACCTAAATAAGGATGTCAGCTTGACACCAATTAATCATACTAACTCATGCTGAGAACTAAGGCACATATTTGCAAGAAGAATGTGTAAGAATGGGTATATTATCTATGATCTCAGCATCTCATAAAATTATTATATGAGATTGCAACTCATGACTTAGACTTCAGTACAATTGTCCTCTGATCAATTGAGACCACTGGCAAACAAAGTCTAATTTGGGGGGAATAGAGGCATAAGCAAAGCAAGTGTATAGTATATAGTTAATAATCTATAGATTTCCATTGTCATATTGATTTAAAAAAACTTGCAAATCGTTTTCATGAGGCTATTTTCATTTAATTCTGTAAATATTTACAAAAATGTACTTTTAGATATGGGACAAATATATCTAATAGCTTAAAATTTTAGTAACCACAGAATTTTTGACCATAAGATACTGGGGAAGAAAAAGGTAGTTTGACATGAAAAAGCCTCTAACTTGTATTATAGTAAGTCAAACTAATAAATAGAAAATATGCACAAATTAACTTATAATTGATTTTTATTCTGATTCTTACCAAATAGACATCCTTATCTATTAATATTGATAATGATAGGTGATAATAAATAAAACGTTATGGTTATACTGTATAAATTCCAAAATTTTAAATATATTTTTAGGAAATCCAACAAAAATTCTCATAGAATTTAGGTGTGATTTAATGTAAATGTTTACATTAAAAAATTAAATAACATTTTTAAAATGATAAGTATAATTTTCTTCATAAAAATTTCTAGATTGACAGGCTCATAGTTGAGAAATGACAGGCCTGTTTTTAATATATATTTTTCTTTAATTTTAGTTTCAGTTTAAATGCAAGATAGAGCTTAGCTACTGGCCATAAATATGTTGAATCATATTTGAATTTTAACTCTTATTCAAATAAATTGATTCTAGATATATGCAAGCCATGCAGGCAGCAACAATTTAGAATTACCAAATTGTGATACTTGTTCATGGATTGAATTTGACTCTTTGAAAACAGAACTATTGATTGGATGACAAATAAATTTATGGACAATACAATCTAAGACATTTTTTTGAGAGAGGAAAATATGAGTTTATAGTTAAGGAGATTAATAATGTTATCATTTATCAGATATGTGTTCTAACTTAAAGTTTGAATGTCCAGAGTTAAAAATTGTTAGACAGAAATGTATAACTTTCAAGTGTTTCAGAGCTACCCATATACACACACTATTTCTAAGTGAATGGGATAAAAAAATTACATGCTTTAAAGAAAATACAATGATTAATCTTCAGAATAGAAGTTACAAATGTAGACCCTACTTTTCATCTATATTTATTCAAAGTACATTCAACTAATATTTGTTAGATGGAATTAATGAATAATTGAATTAATAAATGAAAGTTATAGAACTGCTTTTCTAATATGTTGAGTGATTAAAACAAAAACTTTATAACAAAACCTTTTTTTTTTCACCAAGTAACACTCTGATGCATGAACTCATTCCTTAAACCGTATTTTTAAGAAGAGACAATATTGCATTATGTTTTAAATAATCGAGACATTTCCTTTCATCATTCCCATGAGACAGTCCTAGTATCCACATACTCCAGTTGAGAAGACAGACAAAGGGAGGCTTGAAACAAGGGGAGATAAAGCTAGAATCCTGGTTTTGACTCCCTCCCAAGTGCTTAATCCACTCCCCCACATTCCAATTTACAATAAAATGAAATTGGCACATTAACCTGAAAGGAAAGAAGAAGAGAAAGAAAAATGACCAAAGTCATTCACAGTAAATTTAGGCATATCTAATGAAGTAACAGTGAGTTTAGGCATATGCAAAAAGGAATTTGGCTCTAAAATGGCAAAACTGACAGAGCAGTGGGGGTAAAAGGTAGTTAAAGAATAATCTGAAAGTGCTTGAGAGTGGAATTAAAATGATGATTTGGCTTATGTTCATTGTGAAGTGTCTTTTAAAAAAAGATTCTGATGAGCAAACATGTTAAAAATAGAATTTTCACTCTTCCTGCCTCCTGGAAGAGCCTTGAATTTCCTATAGAGACTATGAAATGTGCAGCTCCGTAAGTACATGGAGTAATATAACAAATTTTTCAATCATTGGGACTGAGTATGAGAGGGATGCAGAAATAGAGATTAACAGGACATTTTTATTTCATGCAAGAAATTCTTCATCATTTATTGTAGTTATTAAGAAGACTCTGAAACTATCAGTCCTGTCTTTGACAAAATGAATTGCATTTTAAGTGCCCTCAAAGCAAAATCTCTCATGAAGGACAAGCCAGAAATAGATGGGATAATATAGGGAAAAAAGCAGAAAGCAAGATGAATGAAACTAAAAAATGAGATGCCGTTTTAAGTATAATATATTTTTAAAATGACAGGAAGAGAATGTAAAATGGCATAGCAAGAAGGGAATACATAGAAACAGGATATACACATACAAATTCTTATGATCCAGATTTCTACTAGGCACTTTCTTACTTGCATTAGATATGAGATCATTTGTGTTAGTCTCTGTGCTTGAGTATCACCATGTTTATATAAATATCTTTAAACCTTCATGTACTTAGAGTTCCATATGCTGTCTATGTATATGAATTGTTGTCATTTTAAAACACAGAAATAGAGAAAATGCAATTTATTGATTAGCATCTGATAGACTTTGCAGTTTCGTGGTATAACCAAAACAACACATTAAGAGAATGAACTTCTTTAAAAAAAAATTATGCAACTTTCACAAATCACTTAATGCATCCTCAAATTCTCATTGAGAATATCATGATGATTATTTGTACTTACCCATCTTTAACATTAGTGATTAAAAATTAGCCAATTTTAAGTATTATTGTAGAATCCTTTGCACAAAATTTAGTCTACTTTTAAATAGTCATACTATTCTTCTATTTCCTTTAATAAGCTTTTCAGAGTTTATATAAAAATTGTTAAATAAATAATAAACTCTTCAAAGTTCATAGTGTATTATTAAGAAACCATATGTTATCATTTAAAAATGGATAATGCAGAGAACCTATGTAACTAATTCAATCAATCAAATTACTTGTTTCATTTGAAATGGAGAAAACTGAAATATTTGCTTGAATTACTACACTTCATTTTATAAGACATATTAGTGGGTTCTCAAGTGCAATATGTAATAAACTCTATCCAGCCTGAAAACAAGTATAAATACCAGAAACACATTTCAAGGTAGAGGTGACGCTTGAGTCATTTGTTTCAATTTACTGGGTTGACAGCTCTAGGAGGTGATGAGACAGGGAACAGAGGAAAGGGAAGCAGTCACATTGTATTGTTTTCTAATTAGTTTCGACAAATGATTTTTAATGGTTTTTGCCAAGGGGTTGTACTGAAATTACTTTGTGGGGTTATTATATTGTTAATAATTCTCTTCATTTGCTAAATTTACTACCATAACCATCAAAATATTTAGAGCATTTTCAGAATTCAAAGTTAAGATTATTTTTAAGCAGATGTATTGGTGTATTCATCTATTACACATTCAACATATTAAAACCCACCAAATGTTATAAAAGAAATTTAAATATGCAATTTTGAACAACTAAAATGTCTTAATTTTTGGAGTCTGCCTAAGAACTGTCTAAATATGAAAATAATCATCTTTTTAAAAGGCAATAAAATTTCAAGAGTATTAGTTATTAATACTCTCAGTAAAACAATAAATGAAGGTATTTTTGAAACATGTAAGCCTGGAAATGTTTCACCTTATGAAATTTTTTAAAGAAAGTAACCTTCCTGCTCTTTAATATGACTATTATAATAGCAGCTGAATAGACGCAGTACAGTGAGTGCGATGGCTGAAGATAGTAAAGCATGACACATTTTAGCAGTAGAATGTATCCTACACAATAAAAGGCTAATATGCAAATCAACCAAATGGTGGAATGACCGGTCACTATGATGCACACTGAACACCAGAGGGCTGATGCTCAATGCAGGAGCTGCCCCCTGGTTGTCAGTGTGCTCCCACAGGGGGAGCGCCACTCAGCCAGAAGTCCTGAGCCAGACTCATTGTATCAGACATCCTCTGAGGGCTCCTGGGCTGCGAGAGGGCACAGGCTGGGCTGAGGGACACCCCCTCCCCAAGTGCATAAATTTCGTGCACCGGCCCTCTAGCCTATTATAAAAAGAGAAATGTAATTAACCAATAGTCATATTCCTACTTATGACCAAAATACTTAATGACTGTATATTTGAAATATCTAAAATGTTAATTATTTTACCTAGAAAATCAAAGCTAATTGTATTTTGTTACATTTGCACCTCGCTGACATGTAAACTAAGAAAAGATGTCGTAGTGTAGTAGAAATAGCTGTGTTTTTTTGGGAACAAATATAAATACACTTTTTTGGTTTCTCATTATTAGTTTGAAGAACTATCCAGTAAAAAATAAATAAAGATCTTTGCCTTTTGTAAGAACATGTTTTATGTATGATTTAACTTTTTACAACACTCCGAGAAAAAGCCATCCGATGTTAGATTTAAAATTAAAATCAAAAGCATTTTCTGACATAGTACACATGAAAAATTGGAAATTCCAGTGTCTTCGATAGAAGTTATAGAAAGTGTGTGTCTCCTTGGAATTTGATGCCCATTTTACACAGCAGAAAATAAGGTACTATACTGTAAACAAAAAGGTACAGTAAAGGACAGTTGTAAATTTACATAAGAATAGTTCATAAACATTTTGGTCTTTCCATAACAGTTTTTATATAAAATGATTAAAAAAACCTTAGACAGCTGTCATCACTCTTGTTTTACCACTTTTCACTTAAATGCACACAGACATATTTATATAGCAATATATTTGATGCACCGTTACATGGATATTAAACTATGATTACTGCTTGTAACTGAGATGTGCATTATCCATTCAACATTATCCATAGTTGGAATACTCTTACATTATGTATTCTTGTCATGTTGTATCTATAAAAACATGAAAATATAACTTTACATTATTTCAATTATTTACATTGAAGGTTCAAGCTTGACAGAGAAAATTCAATAAGCTACAATTTTTAGAAGAGTAGGCCCAGAGGTACAATAAATAGCATTAATTGTATATAGTTCTCTTTTTTTGTTTTTAAAAAATCATTTTAGGTACAATACGGAAATAATTAGTCTGCAATTTGGTCATTCTAGCATTTATTATTAAAACTCAAATTGCATCTCCAACATTTCTGATGAGGAGAAATGCACTAAATCACACTTTGTTATCTTTGACTCTGTGATAAGGGACAGCTAAGTTTAGTGAAGAACATCATGATGCCACATGTCACCATGTTCAATGGAAGTGGTTGCTATTAAACCTTACATTTCTCTTTCCCTTCTCTGAAATATAAAGAGTATATTTTCAAAGCACTTAGGTAAGCGCTGCACAAGAATAAAAATATTTAAAGTAACTATGGGATGTCTGTTTAAAACCCTAAATTAATTTTGTTTTAGGAGGCTTAATGAAAATAAATGTGTGTGTTTTTGAAGGGAAGATAGCTGCTTTAGATTTTTTTTTTACTTCTTTAGTCAAAAGTTACAGAAATGTAATATTTTATCCTCACTGGGCATAATAAAATAGCCATTTCACTTGATGAATGAGTATAAAAATAATAGATTAGGATTGGGTTTATTGATGGCAATGGGAAGAAACTATTACAGGTGATTCAAAGTGCTTAAGTTATTCATAATACCTAAGGCTGATGACAGCTCTTATAATTAAAAAAACAAAACAACACCTTAGATTTAGTTTATGGCGTTTGATGAATGGGCACCTATCTAAAAAGCTACTTTCAAGGCATTCCTAACTTCTAATACTTCTCTTCTGCAAGCTCAAACATTTAAAAATGGAACCTCACATACTGAATATTCTGATTTTTTAAATTAGTTTCTTTAACCTATTAGCATTTACCTACATATAGATTAAATGCTTTACATTAAACATATATTTATATATAGTAAGACATACTAAAAACAGAATCAGGTATTTTGGGGGACAAGTTGAGACTTTTAAATACCACCTGGCCTTCTTTTATTAAAAGGGGACAGTTTCCTCTGGGAACCTAATAATTTGATAGTTTCTTTAAACTCACTTGTTCTATGACCAAACTGTAGCTAAGCAAAATTAACTGGACCCCTTGCAAATAAAACAATAGAAAATGTTTATTTCAAATGTCAAGCATCGCCAAGTAATTTTATATTAACACCAAATGTTAAAGAATAGGATACATTAAAGTTTTAATAACAATATTAAATTACAAGATTTGACTCTCTCTTTGTTTTCTTGCCTTAACATGTACATATTTGGCTTTGGAAAATACAGAACTGATACCTAAAACCTTTATAATCACTTCCCACTCCATTTCATTGTTGTTTTTAATCTTCTCCAACCAATATGGAAGCAAATTTATTTAAAAGCCAGTTTGTTTGTGAAAATACCTAAAAATATTTTTTTAACGTTAAGTGTTTTTTTTTTTTTCCCCTCTTTTTTTTTCTTATAAAACATTTCACATCTTGATGCAGTTGATGTCAAGTGTGCTTAAGTCATTATGAATCAAGAGACCGACAATAGTGGCTGCAGAAACGGGTCTGTGGTCTGTACAAAGATCTCAGTTAACGCATAGTACTCCCATGTTCGCTGTGCATGTCCACCAAGCTTCCTCTGGAACCGGAGCAGGAAAGGATGTGTGTTGTTAATGAACCATCCCTTACAATCCAAAGATGACTTCTAGCTAGTTAAGAATTCTTGGCTGAAAGAAAAGTCTTCAAGATACTGGATGCCTCTCACCATTTTGACCATAAACACACAAGAAAACCATTGTGTAAGGCACTCAAAAGGTTCTTATCAACCGCGAGCGAGCAGTCACACACGGACATTCATTCCCATGCCAGGACTCACGTAAGGGACA